TCTCCGAAGGGGGCTCCTGCCTACCCTGCCCCCCAATCCTGGACCCCAAACACACATACACTAGAATACCTAGGAAGCCTGACCTGCCCTGAGTTACATTAAGATGGGCAATAAGCTCCTCCCTGAATGTTTTACTCATCTCTCTAATCTTCCCTACCAATCCAGCCACCGAGTACAGTGCCTGGTAGAAAAGGGGCCCATACGTCCACTTGGAGAACGGAGTTTCATGATGCAAAAACACTTGCGTGGGTTTCTAGGTGCCCCTCCATGCCCCCACCCCGACCGGGGCAATAAATTCCCCCGAACTGCTGACAGAACATCCAAATCGGTCACTCTTCCTGGAGCTGAACTTGACGGGGCCCACCCCTGTGTCATTCATGTCATAGCCTCTGAAAGGCCATCCTTGGCCACCCATCCAGTCACACCATGTCTCATCCCCCCCACCAGCGTGTGCACGCACTCTCTTTCTCTCTCACACACACACACAAACACGTAACATTCCAAAACTCATACCGTTCCTGTGTTGGCTGGCTAGAACGCACGTTCCACGAGAGCGGGAACCTTGGGCGTTCTAGTTCTCTGCTGTAACTTCAGCATCTACCATAGCGTGGGACACAGACACAGCAAATGCTTGTCACATAAGGCTGAGGGGACACCCTCCAGACATCTGCTACTTTTCTCTGACAGTCCCCTAAGGCTCCTCTCCACCTTCTGCAACCCCAGCCAAGTTCCCTTCTCTTGGCATCAGGAGTCCTCGTTGCTCCACCAGTAGGTTAGCACTTCACTTCTTTCCCTTAAATTGCCTCAGACCAAATCATTTTGCAGCTCTTACCTCCCTAACTTGACTGCAAGTGTGTATATGCTCTGTCACCTTTGGAGAAGAAAGAATTTCAAATATGTGCAACTAAAGAAAACTGAGGTGTTCTTCACAGTACCAAGACTTCTTATTTGAACGACTCTGATTACAGAGACACATAAAACATTTCCTCTTTAGGCTGATTCTAATTCCACCATTCTGTGATGACTACAAGTCACCTAGACAGATACTATAAACTAGTTGGCATTCTCAGGGACTACTTATAGTTTTTATGAAGGATTATCTAAACCTCTCAAGTAACCTGAAGGAGCTACATACTCTTCACAATTCACTGCCAGTTTTGTCATAAACCGCCCTATTTACTGTCCAGCTATCACCTATAAAAACTATTTGCTGCTATAAATAATTCCTCTCTCTAGTTTGTTGTGAACGGAAAAGTCAATAGGTCAGAAGCAGGCCAAAAACCAGGGTGAATCGGCACAGGGTGAGGCTCTGCCATGGGAAAGCAGAGTGGCGAGGCCCACCGCTTGTTCTGGGCTTAGAGAAATCCCCCATAAATACCAACTGATTAAATGAGTCACAAACTCATCCCTTCCTCTGCAAGGAACACGAACTCTCAGCCGCACGGTGTCAGTGGCACTGACTGTTACAACAGACCCGCCCGCTCCACTGAACTCTTCTACTACCTCGTTTGCTCTTGACAGCAACCCCATGAGGCTAGGCAGTACAGAGGCCATTCGGTGTTAAAACATCCATTTTTACAGCTATGGAAACTGTACTCCAGATAGGTAACGTAACTTCCCCAGTCACACACCTGGTAGAAACCCAGGAGTCCCATGTTTTACATGCCTTCCACTCAGCCCCTGTGTATGAGCCACTACTGTTTCTTAAGGGTAAAAGAACTTCAGGTAAGGCTCTTCTGTGGCCAGGAGACAGCAGGGCAACACCAAATTTGCTACTATAGTCTGTGTCTTAAAAGAACTTTTGCCCACAGTCATTATTTACTGCTAACCAGCAAATTCAATCTCTTATTTCTCACAATAACAAACAGGACACAAATCGAGAAGGTGGTAAATTCTTCTAACTATGGTCCTTCTATGTTACTTCTAAGATCACAATCTTCCTGTGGTGCAAATTAAAATAACCAAAGCATCGGACACTAAGAAACCCTCCCTCCTTCTCTACCTGCTGTCCCAAGAAATTCTCATGCTCCATCTCATAACGGGCTGCTCAGACATGTAAGAAGTTAGGCTGACTTACAAAGCTGAAAATCCAAAATTCTCGTTTGAAATGCCTCAAGTATGCACATCTTTGGCCCATGGCAAAACTGCATGCTCCCTGGTCAGAGATAATATGAACTGTGTTCTCCCAGCATTGTGTTCTCTTCCTTCGTTACAAGGTTTGTGTGGGTCTTTGTTTGCCAATCTGCCAACATTTATTGAGGGCCTATTCTGTGCCAGCCATCAAGGTGCGGATCAGCAACTTCCTGATTTAATGTCGGTCTCCCCAACCAGACTCCAGGTGACATGAGAAGAGTCACTGCTTCTTTTCTGCTCACCATTGCACTGTTCAACCTAGCAGAGTGCCTGGTACACGGCAGGGACTTCACAAACATGAACTGCATTAATGAATGATAAGAGAGACGGAGAGAGAGAGAAGGGGCCACTCTGTAAAGGAAGCAGGGCTTTTACTGCCCAGAACACGCCTCATGATCCCCCAGCAACGTGATGCATTCTGAAAGGCGCCACATGCAATGCACAGCTGTAGGCATAGCAGCTGTCCTGCAAAGGAGCTAAGGCCCAGAACTCTGAAGAATTCAGCCCTTTGTTTCTCTCTGCCTGCCTCATAACCAAAATGAAGTTAGGTCCACTGTCAGACTACCTGTCAGCTACATGTCTTCAACATCTGGCTTTCAGAATTACTAAGCTAATGTGCTACTGAATGAAATTTATGTTGATTTACTCTCTGACATCACTGCCTGAAAAAATATTTAAACGTCTGAGGTCACACATAAGACCTTAGCAGAACCAAGTTAAAATAAAAAGTTCTCCGTTTCAGGTCTTTGCAAGCTATAAATTAGCTTTCACCAAGTAATTTAAAAGCAAAGAAGGTTTGACTCATTATTTAAACTCTCTAAACTTCAGGACTCTTTACCAGTAAGTTGTTCAAAACAGGGTATTAAGTTCCCAGAGCGAGCTTCATGCAAGTTATTTTCATTAAAACCTAAGACTCAGTGGATTATATGCTTCCCAGAGTAAATACAAAAATAATAACAGGGGTAACATGAACTACTTAATTCAATGTAAAAACCCAGCAATCCAGGCAGGTATAAAAATGTATATTTGTAAATTCATGTATCACTAATTGGACAAAAAGGTTATTTTCAGTTTTTTTTCTCCACATCCAGCTAAATGAGCAGAAAAAACATTTAGGGTTCAATAAAAAAGCAGAAAGTGATGCACAGCAAAGTATGCTGAACAAAGAAAAACCTGAAAGAAGCTGCTAGGAAGCTCTGAATATATTTAAATATATCATTAGTTATACTTAGTAGCAGAGTAAAGATCTCCCCCTCCCCCCAAACTACCGCCCCTGCAAATAAATCACAACTTACCTGGAGAGGCTGGTGGCATTACTCATAAATAAAATGAACACTAAATAAAGAAACAAACTGAAATATGTAAACAGTTTGCAAACAATTAGGTACTAAGGCTAAAAACAACAAAAATCTTAATACTGTTACAGCAGTAGGAAAAAACACTTGGGAATTTTCTAGACCCTGACCATCTGATGATGCAGGATCAAAGCATTTAATGGCCTAAAAACAATAATGAAATAACATTCGATAAAAAGAAAACATGTACTTAGGAAAAGACCGCCCCCCCCCCCGGCAACTTTCTCTTGGATGAGTTAGTTGTATTCCCATTACACTGTGAAATATAAAGAATATGTAATGGAAAAAAATCACAATCGACTTCTTGCCTACATTTCTAAACATTCTTTTTACATTCTTCCAAAATCGTTTATGTTATGATTTCATTTACAGTATGACTTCCACAACTCATTTGGCAATGTTTGGAGTAAAGGACGGACCCCTAAGTTCTGATGACTACAAAAATTTACGTAAGACCTAAGGCAGGCAAAAGAACCAAACGAACAAAAAAGGATTTATAGGACTAAGAAACTACCATACCGTGCCTTGGCATATATTCAAACTGGGCTCTATGAAAGATTCACGAATTCACATTAAAATTCTTCATTAAAAAAAAAAACCCGTGTCCGAATTGAATACCAGCTGGAAATAGGATACATCCAACCAAACTATTTTCCTACCCATAATTATCCCCTCCCCTTTTTAAGTGTGACTGCGCTTTATCTTTTGTTCGAAAACATCGTAAAACAAAATAAAACTACGGGAGTTGAGTCAAAAGTGACCCAACAGCACACTCTTCAACTTCCATTTTGTTAATGGCCTAATTTCGAGAAGGTCCGCGGTGCTCAGACCTTCGCCCACCCCGAGTGTTGCAATCGTGCGCAGGGCGGCGCGGCCCGGCCCGGCGAGGACAGGAGGGGAGAGAAGAGTGGCGGGGCCTGTCCCGGCCCGGCCCCGCGCCCAGAGGAGTGGCAGGGCCCGGCGCGGCGCGGCCCGGGGCGGAGGCGCCGGGCCCGTCCGGCGCCGACCCGGGGCAGAGCGGCGGCGTTCCGGCCCTTCCCGCACGGTCCCGGCTGCATCCGAGGCCGCCGAATCTGCGGACCTGGAAATGTCACTCTCGGAACACATTTCATGACGCGTTCGCTGGCGAACAGCACAAAAAGCTAAGAATATACCGGGCGTGCAGGGCTCGGGAGAGACCGGCCGCAGCTCCCTCCCACGAGTGCGGCTATTTCGAAGGTTCCGAGCGAAGTGACAAGTAGCCCTCGGCCGGCCCTCCCGGCGCTCGGTCCGCTCACTTTTGCGCGCCCGGCTTCTCGGCCCCAACTTAGCCAAGAGCCCGAGCGCGGCGTCCGGCCGTGATTCAGCAGCGGCCCGGGGCGGGGGGGGCGGGGGGCGGCGGGCGGCCCGGGGGCCGTGATCGCGGGCTGGGGCCAGGCCGGGAAAGGTCACCGAGAGCCGCGGGCGCCGCCCGGGCCCGAATTCGGCCGGGCGGCGGCGGCGGGGAGGAGCCGGGGCGGCGCGGGCGCCTACCTTTCCTGCTTTTCGGGGAGCTCCGCTTGCTCCGGGCGCTGGCTCGCTCTTCCTCAATCGCAGCTGCTATCTCGGGGTTGTCTTCCCCATTGTACCAGACCAGGAGCTCCTCACCCGGTGCGATTGGCTGCGGGGACAGAAGAGACAGGCGCCGGGCCAATCAGAGCGGCGGTTGTTGGCGGGGCGGGGCGGGGCGGGGGCGGCGCTCCCAGCTGGGGCCGCGAGCCAGGCCAGCCCGGCAGGAAGGGCTCCTTAACCCTTGGCTGCCGCGGGCCTCGGCGGCCGCGGGCACAAACCCTCTACTGGAGGGAGGACCTTACTTCCCGGCCCGCCTCCTCTCCCTGGGGGCCGCGCGGGCGGACCTGCGGCTCTGCTGTCAACTCCAAACTGCCTTACCTTACCGAATCTTACTGTTCAAAGCCTCACGACTGCCCACGCAGAAGGAAAAATAAAACACGGAACCATTTTGCCCACGAAATCTAGGCTCATGAGAAACGTAAAGCGTAATGTAAAAGAACCCGACGGTTTGGAAAGAGAAGTGTTGAAAGCTAATTACCTACGTACGTTTCGGATGCCAAGAGCAAGTTCAGCATGATAAGAACTGTAAGTCACTGCACATTTATAAACGCACCGCTAATGATATCACGGAAATGCTAAAAGAAGAAGCGGGACGCAGGCCGCAGGCGTCCCTGCACTATATTCTCTATGCACTGCCACCAACCTGCTCGGGGCAAAGGAGAATCCACTGCCTTGCCCTCTGTACCAGACAACTTTTAAATGCAGAAGGAAATGCCTAAAAAAACCACACAGGTACTATGCTCCTAAAACATTAACTCTGAAAAAGCCATGAGAGTAGCGAGGACATGGACCACTACCATGCTGATTACACCTAGGATCAGATCCTGAAGAAAAAGATAACCGAGTGGAAAGATCACATTCCTAAATAGAATTTAAGGAAATGGCTTATTGGCTTCTCTCATAATGACTCATCTGTTCAAAAAGTTCCAAGGGTAACAACAAAAGTAAAACTGCACCTAAAACCCACCGAATAAAATAAGAATCCATCAGTCCATTCTGATATAAATGTAATGAATGAACAAGTAAATAAATAAGAAGGAAAAAGCTCTTCCTTAAAGTAGATCCCAACTAATCAATAAAAAACAAGTAATGGAATTAGAAAACCACCACTTGGCAATCATAGCAGTAATAACTGATTCATCAACAGATGCTAAAACTAGTAGGTCTAAGTTTCAGGTGTAATAGAGTATTAGCATGGTGTCAAAACATCTCCCCATAAAACATGAATTACAAAGGTAAAAACAGTATCCTCAGAATGAGATAAATCAACATCCTGTGCCTCCTGATACAATGCACAGGAAAGATTATCATCACTTCTGGAGATCTCTGCCCAAAATCCATGACCATAACTTAATCATGATGAAATATAAGAAAAGCCCAAACTGTGGGACATTCTACAAAATAACTGACAGGTTTGCTCAAAACTGAAAGGCTATACAAGACAGACTGACATACTGTCCACACTAAGGAGACTGATAAGACATTACAACTGAATGCAACTGAGCTTTCTCTTCCTATAAGGACATGGTTGGAACAACTGACAAAATGTGAATAAGGTGTATAGATTAGCTAATGAAATACTGTGTCAGTGTTAGCTCCCAGATTTTGATCACTGCACTAGGATTATGGAAGAAGAGGCCCTTGGTTTTAGGTGCAGGTGAATTCCATCTAAGATGCCAGTGTAGAAACAGCATAGTTCCTCATTTTAACATACCTTCTCGTCTAAATAAAGCCCTTGAAAGTAGACTTTATTTCGTTTCTTTCTCTTCAGAATTCAGTTTATGTAGTCCGAATTTTAAGATATTCTAAATTCTTTAAAAGAACAAGCTACTGTTTCCTTTGCTCCACCAAGGATGGCTAAACGCTGCCATTTTCTTATCTTTAAACCAATATACTCTTATCTGCCTTCTTGAATCAGTTACACCTAAACCAAAAAACTAAATCTAATACATAATCTATTAATCAACTGAAATAGCCATTACAGATGTCTTTTGGCACTCTGATGAGCTAAATCTGTTTCTGCTGCAGGAACAGGCTTTTTATTTAAGTAAACTATTTCTAGTTCCAAATGTATAGTTTACTTCTCTTTTTGTTATAAATCACATATTTATGGAATGGCACTATCCTCTAATATTTGAAATGATTAGCATTCACAGAAATAAGTGAAATCTTCAATAAAAACCATAAAAAAAAAAACACGGAATGGAGGAAAAAAATGTATTCCCGATATGTCCCTAACCCAAACAGCATAACCAGAACACTGGCTACAACACACCCACTGGACATTTTCAAGATACCTACCAGACTCAGAGCTTAAAGTTTCCTTGTTCATTCCACTGCAGTCTTCTGCAGAGTACTGACTGCACTAGCAACTGTGTGAAAATTAATATCAGTACAAACTCTTTATTTAGGAGGCTATTCCTTTGTTGCTGCAAAACACAATATAAAACACAACTGAATCTGTTCTTAAATCTAATATAACATTTCTAAATAGCTAGTCAACTGGTGAACAGCTAGGTTAAGAGCAACCTGATTTGTTAGCTATTGAACAACCTTCAAAACTGTGAGCAGCTGAGAGGATTATTATATTATTGAGCTTTTTACTTCCCCACTTCATGGTAAAACAGCGACACAACTAACAGATCTTTATGAAGAGGAAAATAATATATACTTTATTTAATCAGTGCTTGTTTGCTTCGGTACTACATTGTTTTTCCTTCTGCACTGCTTAGCACATTTAAGATTTTGTAAGTCAAATTTCAGAAAAGAAAAATTATGTCCTTAAATATAGAACTATAAATGCACATCTTCAAAGCTGAAAGTCCAAACAACCTCTTTTTTATGTATTGTACTGTGATTTCAGCAAAACAAGAAGACTTTAAGATCCTTCAACTTTTGAGTTCTGACAGGCTTACAGAACCAAGCATACTCTCTTATCTAAGTATCAGTAAATATAAACTCGAAATTTTACCAGACCAATTAGGGAGAGACAAGGGTTCCAATAAATATTCCTGACACTAGGTCAAAATAAGAGAAATACTCCAGAATTACAAGAATACACAACACATCAACGCTCAGCCACTTACAATCTAGTCACCAGCATGATCTCTTCCAAGTCACGGGTCAGACAGCCTCAGCTCTCAAACGGATGAAGACTGAAATTCATCTTTCTCCCTGTGGGCCACAAGGCCCCACCTGATCTGACCCCTGACCACCTCACCAGCCTCATCTACCATTCCTCTCCTTGCTCCAGACACCCTGGTCTTTATTCTATTCCTTAAAAAAAAAAAAAACCTAGCTTATTCCTACTTCAAGGCCTTTACTTCTACTGGGCCCCTCTTTCTAGACTGGTCTTCCTGCAGAGGTCTTTGTGTGACTGGCTCCTTCCCATGCTAGGGGGGTAGGAAGGAGGGGGTTTTTATGTCTTGTCTTCCCTGACCCGCCGGGGGATAGATATAAAATTATATAATTTTGTATAATTTTTTAAAATTATAATTTTACTCATTGTTTATTTTCCATAAGCTGGAGTTCCATGAGACCAGAGACCTTATCTGTTCTGTTCACTACCACAGAAGAATACCTGGTACATAGTAGACTCTCAATAAATATTTATCAAATTAATGAAGAGATGAATAAATGGGTGGGAGGCCAATATCTAACTTTTGGGAATTTAAAATAGTTTTTAATCATACTACAAACAAGACCAGTGTTGAGATTTCCTAATTATCTGGGTGATAGTTGAGAAGGCTATACAGAGCCCAGAGGAACATCACGTGTAATTTATTTACAAAACCTACCCCACAGAAAGCTTAATCTAGAAGATTATAGTGAGATAATCACTAGCAAGGAATCTGAAAGGTCTTGTGCATACGTGAGCAAACATCAAAGGTCAGAACTGGGGGACGTCTGCAAAGACAGAACTATGTTACTTCAGACAAAGACAGGGGAAAAGAATAGCAATGGTACAGCTGGTTAACACTTGGGAATACTCCGGTTAGGCTAGGAACTGTTCACACAACCTTAAAACTAGTGGCTTGTTTAACCTTCCCAACAACTGTATTAATTGTACTATGACCTCCATTTTTACAGATGAGAAAACTAAGAGAGTTTAAGTAACTTCTAGTCACACATCTAGAAGCCAGAATTTGCTCACAAGGCAATGTGCTCCAGAGTCCCCACTCCTAACCACAGGACTCTAATACCTCACCAAAAATAACAGCTAGCATTTAGCATTTATTCGGCACTAGAGCTCTACCTCTAATAACCTATAAATCATCATGATGACCCTATGAGGTCAATACTATAGTTACCTGTATGTTACAAATAAGGGAACGAAGGCAAAGAAAGGTGACTTGCCTAAGGTTACACAGCTAGTAAAGTCCCAGTGACTTGCCTCGGGTCACAGAGCAAGCCCAGATTTAATCCAGCAGTCTGGCTTCAGAGTTCACTCTCCCAAACACTATTCTCTCTGGATTCTCAGTGTTTCAGATTTGCTACCAGAAATGAACACGTTTTAACGGGAAGTGAGATGAAGGAACTGCGAAGTGTCTGAGTATCACCCTGGGCTTGCTCTCCCTTGGGGCCTCATTTCCACTCCCTTGACCCCCTCCCATTCATCCCCTCACTACTATTTCATCTCCACCAGGATTCTGCCTCACCAATTTAACCAGAGGTAACTCTCCCTTTAAATCAGTTTGAGAAACAATGAATGAATTCTTGAATTAAGTTCTGAATCCAATGTCAAACTGCAGTGTAACCACACTGCATAGAAATACCTACTAGGAGATCATGCTATTACAATCCAGCATCAAGAAAAATGAGAAGGAAGGTGGTAGACGTTTTTCATGAGACAACAGCACAAAAAAACATTCCCTGTAGAGACTGGAAAGCAAGGGCTTGGGTATATATGAAGTAAAGGGCAGTCCAACTGGCTAAAGATGACAGGAAAAATACAGTAAAGGAGAATTAAACAGCTCTGTGTTAACTAAACTTCCAGAAGTCCCAGCGCTACCACACAGGTAAAATTCACCATGCTGCAAAGCTGACCACTGTCTTCAACGCTTGCTCAAGAGGTTTCAACTCCATGAAGATCATTTGTTTTCATGGACTGTCCCCCAATCTAGGACAATTTTAAATGGAAGTGAATAAACAGAAACTTGAATTGCAGCAATTTTAGTAGACGTATCTATTCCAAAAAGCAACAGTCATCTATCTTTAGAGCCTCAAGCCTCCTCTTTAGAGAACATTTCCATGCAGGATCAGTGCAGATTTGCCTTCCCAGACAACAGGAAGACAGGGCCAACGCCAGAAATGCAGCAACACTCAACGATGCCTAATGCTAACTGCCCTGCATGTTCTCATTGACCTCTGACCTCACCACAAACTCTAGAAAACGATTTCCTCTTCTTTTCATCTTAACAATTAATGTCTCCAAATCAAAAAGTGGCAGAAAGAAGAAACCCATTCTGTTTAACTTCCAATCTGAATAAAATCTAGGGAAAAGAAAAGCAAATCCATGGCTACATGACACTGAAGACCAAGAACATGTCTTCCGTTAACACAGAAGCACCACAGCTATCCACGGTCTCCTACACTTGGATAAATCTGCCAGTTGGACAGTGGCTGGTGCATTTGTATCTTAAGAGGAGGGAAGTGGCTGCCACATGCTTAACTCATCAGTATCTACAAAGATGCAGCATGTAATTACTTAACAGGATCTTCATGCTTTGGTGCACACAAAGCAGTGGCAACTGTATATTTAAAACAAAGACCTTGCTTGTGTTGATGAACCACTTTCAAATCTAATCCTGTCAAGGTCGCCAGGGTCATTACTGTCAGTTACAAAAATGCAGGCAGAGTAACTCACAGCTGACCAGCTCCAACACTCTTACCTTTAAAGTTTTATAGTAAATGGCCCTGTTGATTTCCAGCGGAAATAAATTCTGCTCTTCTCCTGAGCAAGCCCAATTCACATATCGCAGCCAGTTCCCCTTCTCTGGGTCGGTTGCATCAATGCACATCCATCCCAAATTTGGGTAATATACCTTGGGGGACGAAGGGAGGAAATGCAGTAGTTAAAATAGGAGTGTCTTTAAAATGTTTCCATTTTCAACTTTCAAAACAATTCTTCATCATATTGCAATATTGTACAAAGCATTTCACAGAAACAAAATAAGCAACAGAGAAAAGAAAACTAAAAGATGAAAACGGGGAGATCCAAAATGGCAATCCTCATTAAGTCATTTCTCTATCTGGGCTGGAGTCATTTTTTTCTCCTAAACTTTAACACCTACAGCAAATAAGTGTAATGATCTCTAAATGCTCTACAAATACTGTCTGCGCACGAAGATAAGTGATAACTCCATTCCCTAAATGTAACTTGAAAAGAAGAGTGAGCTTCCGGCAGCACCCCACTGCACCCAGGTCCCCTGAGTGTTCTGGGTTGTTCTGCAGGTGGAGTGTGGGGCGGTGCGGGGGGCCCTGTCCTGCCGGACTACACAGCTCCGCGGGCTCCTTTGCTTCAGTAAGTGAACATGTAGTGTGAACCTCAACATGGGTGATGGCACACGATGCTTTTGCAACTTCAGCTGACCCTCCAAACCTTCTCTACCTAATCATCTGTTAGGACTAAGGTACTATGGAACATACTCCGGGAAGTATCAGTGTCCTTCCAAAGAAAAGACTGGAAACCTGACCCCTCTTTAAGGACTCAGAGCAAACCTACTCATCCACTGTCAGTCAATGTCCCCACCCACCCCTGCCATGCTTCCAGCACTTCTCATTTCTTCATTTTAAAGAAAATCTATTTAGCAACTATTTTTAATTTTTATCTTTGTATACACACACATACCTATATATACACATATATAAATACATATACATATGTGTATTTATATATATATATATATTTTTTTTTTTTTAACTTCCTCCCAAACTAGACTGTAAAACACTTGATTAGGCACTGAAACAGAACCGCAGGATCAACTGGTGATAGACGTGTCAAAAATAAAGCAAAAGAACTAAGTCTCTTACTTTCTCTTTAGGAAGAAAGGAAAGAACCTCAATGCTTCAATTTCTTCCCTCCACATACACAGCCAGGACACCCCCACTCATCTCTTCTCTCCTATCTACATTACACTTCTTTACCGCAGCCTTCCCTCTGGAACAAAGCTCTCACACTTCACTCCCAGCCCTTTTGAGCATGCCTGTGTATCCCAGCCTGTGTCTGTCAAGGGGCAGCAACCACCTTCCTGTGTACTAACCATTCTTCTTTCCTGCTGGGAGTCAGATGTCAGGCACGATGCTATATGCTTTCCGTATCATCTCATTTAACCCTATGTAGCAGGTTCATTATATCTTTTTTTTAACATGTGGAAATTGAGGATCAAAAGTTCAATTGGACTTTCCCAAAGTCACCCACTTAATTAAACCCAATCTGCCTAACTTTGACCATACTTAACAGCACCTTCCTCGACCATCCTAGTTAAAACCGTAAATCCTTCTCTTCCCATCAACCGCCAGCCATACCCCCGATTTATTTTTCTTCATAGCGTTTATGCTCTTTTAAAGTATGAGATCATCTCCTTATTTTATTTAGTGACTGCATCCTCACACCAGAGCATAAACTCCATGAAGAAAAGACACGTCAGCCTTTTTGCTGACTGGAGCACTCCCAAGACTTGACCAGAGCCTGGCACTGAGTAGGCTCTCAATGACTAACTATGGAAAGGATGAAAGGATGATGTTACACGAATGTGTCGCTGCCATCAGGTAACGAGCACGGACTATGTGACAGGCACCATACCATGTCCCGTAAGTTTCCCCTATGAGTTTATTCAGAAATTGGCTCTCTATTGACCATCTACCTGTACCACTCTAAAGAAAAGTTATCCGTGTCGCATTAGACCTCTTTTCAAACTATCATTCACCCTCCGCTCACACACACACATGCATGCACACACACTCCCCTCCCTGCAGAGAAAGGAAGTCCCCAAACTGTATGTTACGAAGACACAGCATCACAATGCAAGACTTAAAGTGACACTTCACACACCAAAATAATAGAAGGGGCTTTACTTTATAACGTTTAAGAGACATCCGTCACATTTGCCAGCATGACGGGATAAGGGAAAGGGAGTAGTTGTACTTTAACACTGGCAGTCCATTTTAGTTACTTTTTACTAACTTAGGGATCAAAAGTGTTGTTTCGATTTATCACAGTGGATGGCAGAGTCCTACTCACTCCCCATCAACACACTGACACCGATCCAGAAATCAATGGGACGAACAAAGATGGTGCTGGAAAACCCCACACAATCAAAGAAGGCAGGTAGGGAGAGACACCAAGTCTGCCCACCAACCTGAGGATAACAGTACCAGCTGTGCCCGAATTTCCTGGCTCCCAGGTCAACACAGAGACCTCTGTGGCCCATTTGAGTGAATTCCTTATTTATGTATGGTTCATTTTGTTTCAAAATGGATAAAAGCATCTGCTAAGTCATACTTAAACTAAAATACTTACTTCATAGAAAAAGATGAACACCTCAATTTTTTTAAATGTGCAAAAATAATTCACAAAGGAATACACATGACCAAAACCTCATGAAAAAAATACTTTTAATTAGTTTAAGTTAGTTAAACTAATTAAACTAAACTAGAAATTTAATAATCAAAAAATAACTTCAAATTAAATAATTTTTACCTATCAAACTAGTAAAAAGAAATTTTTAAGAGAAAAAAAATTAGAAGGCAAACATCCCCCTCCAAACAGTGATTAGAGAATAAATTGGTATCATTTTTTGGATGGAATTTAGCAGTCCATGACAAAAAAAAGCTTTAAAATGTACACACACTTTAGCCAGCATATATACATACAAGAATTTATTCTCATGACATAATTGGCAATTATACCAAGATGTATGTACAAGAATATTCCCAACAGTGTGGTTTATTACAGACTGTTTCCCATTAATTGCTAAGTGGAAAACACAACGGATCAGCTCAGGATGATAATCCATGCACACAGAAGAATACTAAGCAGGCATTAAAAAGTACTTTTGTGTAAATCATTAGTTGGTTTATGTGGAATCTTTTATTTTGTTACATATTTCTGTATCCCATAAGAATTTTTCCAATGAGGGTGCCTGGGTGGCTCGGTCACTTAAGCATCTGCCTTCGGCTCAGGTCATGATCCCGGGGTCCTGGGATCGAGCCCCACGTCAGGCTCAGCGGGGAGTCTGCTTTTCCCTCTCCCTCTGCCTCTCCCCCTGCTTATGCTCTATCTCTTTCTCTCAAACAAATAAATAAATCTTAAAAAAAAAAATTTAAACATAGGAATACATGAGGAGAAAAATAACCTGACACTAAATACATGAAAATGTTAGTAATGGTTTTCTCTGAAAAGTGGGACTACCCATCATTTTCTTTTCTTTCTTCTGCTTATCTGAATTTTCTGCCTTTCCTCCACTGAATTAGTATAATCTCTAAGTAAAAAAGGATGTGGGTGGGGAGAGCAAGTTAGTTTCCAGCATGAAAGCCCAAGTGTGACTAAAGGAAGCCGAGGCCTGCTGACGCTCCTTCTCCTGCCATCACCATCACACACACATTTTTTTTAAACATATGTAGCTTTCTCATTTTTATTGAGAGTCTAACCTTATAATTAGGAACGGGGATGAAAACATGTTTTTATACAATTTCTACCTTAGTTGGTCAAATCTTGATTTCCAATCGGAATTCACTTCAGTGACAGACACGCAGAACCCAAATGTTAAGATGTGACAGCACTCTGCTTAATGTTAACTACCACTTCTAGACAGCAAAAGTGATGCAACACCATTAGGCTAGGGTAGTGGAGAACCAACTAGAATTCCTTCCTTTCACACAAAGATAATGCAAAGGCAGGTAAAACTCCCACTCTAGCTCAGACTCAACAAATGATACGCAACAAATCTATTTCTAAATCTTTATAATGACCAAAAAATATTTTCATATAATCAATAATTTTTCCTGACCCAATCTATAAAACAGTCCCTTTTAACAAAGCAAGGGCACCTGGTTATGTATATGCAAACAACTTTTACAAATTAACTTTCAAATGGAAATTCCCTACTTGGAGAAAAAGAACTCAAGGAGGAATACCTCCACCCCAAGCACTGGGCTAGATGCTTAATGTGTTATTTTATTTAACCTTTACAAGAACTCTATGAAATATTACTAAACCCCCTTTTTAAAACAGGACACTATGGAAGGTTGGTAATCTTACTAAAACGCTAAGGACACTAAAAGTCTGAGCCAAGATTCAAACCTGGTCCCCTCATTTATGCCTCCATTTCAATTTTCCTCTTTCCAAACCCCTCCTCCCATCCTTCACTTTCCCTCCGTTATCCAGGCCAGATCTCCTTTCTGCCTTTACCACTGAACACAGACTGGATATTAACTCTTTGTCAAACAAAACATAATCTTCATACCACTCAACTTCCATTCAATTTAATCAGTCATTTTGAAATAGTCATAAAATCAAAATTTAGTACATACTCCAATTTAAAAATGCATCAAAATTAAAGCTTCCTGCCGCATAAAGGATGTTTTGCAAAGAACAAACCAAACTGTTAAACATACTTACCTCATGGGTTGGGATGAGAGTTTTCGCTTAGATCCTTCCTTATCATTTACTTGTTCTATTCTACACGTGTTAATTCAAACTTATAAATTGAAAAAAATTCTCGTTCAGTTAATGCAAATGTACATCATTCAAATCCTCAACTGCTTGCCTATGAAGCCCTTACCCACTCTCAACTTACAGCAACCAACTTACTCTGAAAGAAATCACTCCCAGGAATTGAAAGGACACTGAAGATGCCTCCTCATACTGAATCAACTCTCATGCAGAGATACGTCTTTTATGCATCCAAACAGCGCCCCCCAAAATTCAGAGTCTACAGTGATAAAGCCATTCTGTTGGCTATTCTCTGGACTTGCCCTTCAAAGAGCTCTAACACATTATTAATGGCGGGACAGAACCCCTCCTGGAGGTTCACGCTCCCAA